ATTATAAATTTTGTCACTTTACTAAATTTTAATTGATGAATGGACTAAAATTACACGATTATGGGATAAAAAAACAACAATTACATGTTTATAAACTTGAAATCTCAATTAAAATGTTTAAGTGTAATAAATTTGAAATCCCAATTAAAATGTTTAAGGAGCTTAAGTTATGCAATAAGAGGTTGAAATGTAATTAAGGATAAAATTTTATAATATAAATTTGTGATTTTTTTTTCAGATATATTAAAAATTGACATATAATAATAATGATTTTCAAATTCAAAATATAGAATCCTAAAATAACTATATGCATTTAATTTTATAGTTACGGTGACCTAAATTAGAATCCGAAAATATAAATATAATTAAAATTATAATAGTAGCTTTGACGATAATATAATTACAATAAGAATGGTGGTAGTATTATATTTGACACGAAAATTCGAAAAAAAGTCAATTATCTTATTTTATTATACACTAAATAATTAATTACAATAAGATACAATAAATTTCTGAAATATCATGTTAGTTTTTTCATATATTTTAAATTTTTTTATATTGTTGACTTCATGTCGAAATTTAATTGGATTATAATTTGTTTATGTTAATATACTTAAAAATATAGTTAGACAATACAATGTTAAAAAATGTATTGAAGCTATGTGAAAACTCACTTGGTCACAAATGCCACAATATACAATAATAATAAAGTGTTATCACTTTGGTTTATAATTAAAGACCTTAAATGGTTACTTGTGATAACAACCAATCATAATTAAGGACCTTAACAATAGTTGATATTGACTAAAATGAATACTAATAATAAAAACACTATAAATCCATTTATTTAATAAAAGTTTCTACATGGTGCTGAGAGAGAATCTTTCGTAGAAAGGAAAAACAAGCTAAGCAACTAATCAATAATATTTTTATTCTGAAATAAACAAGAGACAGAGAAATATTAAAATCAGTCACTTAAGTCAAACTATCTAGGAGATTGTTTGGAAAAACTATTTCCTAAACACATCTTAAAGAAAAAAACAAAAAACAAATATGAAATAGAACTTTTCTAAAGATAAAATTAGTTTATGCATAACGTTTTTTTATCATCTTCTCATGAAGAAAAAATTTAAAATTATGCATATACCAACTTAAACCTTTTCATTCTAATGATGCTGAGGATCTGGTCCAGCTGGTGATAACCTCTCCAATCTTTCTTCCAACATTGATCTCATATATTGATACTCTCTTGCTCTTACATTGATCACTAAGTCACGTAAAAGAAGTTCACTATTAATCCTTCTACCCACCACCATGGGTGAAGACTTGGGCAAAACTCTTGCCTCTGAACTCACCACAACCAGTGAAAGAAAAATTAAGAACACAACAAACACTTTTGACACCATGGAAGAGGCCATGATCTTTCTTACTCAAACTGTGTGAAGAAAACAAGTGGGTCTCAGATATCGAGTTTGTGTGTATGAGGGAGGTAGCAAAGAAGAGAAGGCTATTTATACTCATATTCCAATTAAGTTCATGAGTTCCATTGGAGGTTTAGATAAACACTTGTCTTTGTTTAACAAGTTTTAGATAACTAATGTTTTAATCTTATGGGATTAGGGTTGGTTGGTCGGTTCTTCCTCTCAAACAAAAATGAATGTCAAAGCCGACCAAACCGATTCATCTTATGTTGTCCTCTTCATCCAAAACCTTATAATATTGATTAAATTTAGATTAGAGAAAGTAGTACAAACAACCCAAATCTTCTGCGTCCATGCCATCAAAGTGTTTGTGCTCTACAATCACATGGGCACAACCATTCCCAAAAGGGGAAAAAAAAGAGAAAGAAAGAAAGAAGAAAATCACATGGGCACACTACAAATGGCTTAATCCAACAATTTGTTGTCATTGCCTTGCTGGAACACACATGTTCATGTTACAACATTTGTTTAAGGCATAATAATCCATGTCGTGTCATCAAAAAGGAATTTCCTTTGTTTGTTTGTTTGGTTTCTTCCTTTCGTGATTTGTCCCTTGGATTTTCGAACGGAAAACGGGTGCAGCCCAATCAGAAAAAACATGGAAATTAACCTTGTTCAAGATGTCCCACGTCATCTTTCAACAAAGTCAGAATAAAAATTCCTTCCTGTCCTCTCTTGGGATCTTTTTACTGTACACTTATTTAAATCAAGATTTCATTATCTTTTGTTTTTAGTTAACAAAATTATTTAATTCATATATTTAGGTTTTATATCGAAAAATATTGAACATGCTTGAGTAAATTACATTCTTTTTTTTTTTGTTTTTTGAAATGTAAGTTTTATATTGGGATATACAATTTAAACCAATTTGAATTAATATAGTTTATCTTTTGAAAATATATGTGAATATTATATTCTTATCTCTTTCGTTAAAATTACTCTTTTAAAAATTGAACCACATAGACTAATTCAACTAGTCTAATTGAAAATTAGTCTAAAAATCAATTAATTATTTCAAAAATACTCAAATTTTAATTAAATAAAAAGAAATTAAAAAAATGATATAAAATTAATAAAATAAAAAATAGACTAAATTTTTTAGTCAAATCGATTTTGATAAAACAAAATATTTTTTTAATAAATTATTTTATAAAAGATATAATATATTTTAGTTTTTTTATCTCATTAATTATATTAATTTTAAACAATAATTATTTTATTATATTTTAATCTTATTTTAATTATTATTTATTTTATATTCTATAATATGTTTTATTTATAATTTTTATTATGACCATAATAATAATTTTTATTAATTTTTTTATAAAAATATATATTATTATTAAGAAATTTATTATATATAGTTATTATATTATAAAAATATTAATTTATTAAATCTGATAAATCTTTAAACTTAAATCCGTATCTTCAATTATATACGTGCAGTTTTAGAAACATTGGTTAGAATGTATCCTTTATACTTTCATTCTTTAAAATTTTTCAAAAACTTTTTAATTAAAATTATACTAAAATATTTTAAATTACATGTTAGCTCTGGCTTACTTTGATGCTCTAACGTTATTGTTAGTAAACATTTATATCTATAATTTAAAATAAAAAATAAAAAATATTTTTCTGAATAATATTTTTCAAAGAAAAAACCTATGTTCAAAATACACTGATAATATTTTTCTGAACATTTTTTGTTGTATGTGTTGTGCTCTTAAGTCTAGTTAAAAGGGGTGTTCGACTATTAAATGTCTAAATTTCTTCATATGGGAAGTTCATATGTAGTAAATATACAACTCAAAGTCTGAAGGTTTATTGTATTGAAAATATAATATATTATTTTCCCTTCAAATTTATTCAAAGTTTCACATAATTATGATATTATTATTATCATTTCATTTGTTTAAATTTAAATTTTAAATTAGTGAGAGGAACATGTTGATAAATTTGAATCTATAATTTAATATTTTAAGTAAAATATTTTTTATAAATTGGTTTCAAAAGAAAATACTTATGTTCTAATCTTCTGGGATTTTTTTTTTACTATAAAATTCACATTTGAGATTTTTTAGATTCAGTTTGTGGCTACTTAATTGCACATTGGGTTATGGTTCTTATAAATTGTTGTCCATTGAGAAAGAAAATAAAAATAGGAAAGCATTTTTACCTATTTTCAAATAGAAAAAGAAAATAATTTTTCCCATAAAAAAAATTACTATTTAAAATCAATTTGGATTAAAACTTACATAATTTATTACACTATTAATGTATTTTTATTTTAATTTCATTTTATATTTTAGATAAAAATATTAATTAATAAAGATACTTAATTTTATTGTCTTTCTCTTTCTCGTTTCGTCTTAAAATATTGTTGATTAAAAATGTATATTAAAACTGAGATATAGATAAGAAAAATTTATAAATATAATATTTTAAGTTTTACTGTAAAAGAAGATTATATTTTTTATATAGTTGATTTATTTTTATTTATAAATGTTTTTTAATATTATTTCATGAAAAATATCCAAAAAAAGTCAATAATTTATGTAGTTAAGAAATGAGATGTTTTCCCTTTGAGACATTTTTAAATAAAACAAACATTCAATTTAATGGTAATTCTAAAAATAATTTATCAAGTTAAAAAGCTAAAAAATAATAAAATAATTAGCATAAGCCAAATCAATATAATTTATTCTTGTTTGTAATAAGTGGAAGAAAATATAAAATTTATGATTTTTTTACGTAAATATATTCTTTTTTCTCATTAGACAGCCACCCAACATATATAAAAGAGTTATATGAATTAAAAAGGTTAATGGGGGAATTTGGGTACAAGTAGCAGAAGATTATTGTATATTATGATGGTTAGAGTGTTTTGCACGTTACAAAAAGAATCTTACCTTGTATTTTAAGACAAAGCATAAGAACCTAACGAGATATTATGACGATCAGTTAAGCAGTAACAAATTTACAAAACGATCATAGTAAAAGTTTATTACGAAAAATAATAACATGAAAGATAATAATAATAATAATAATGTATTATGAAATTTTAATTAATTTTTACGAAAAATAATAGCATGAAAGATAATAATAATAATAATAATAATAATGTATTATGAAATTTTAATTAATTTAATCAAAATTTTCAAGGGAAAAATATGAGAAGTTTTTTATGAGACAAATTATATGTTGATACTTACTTTTCTTATTATAAAAGGAACACAATGTTTACGATGTAAATCACTCAATTTTTTTTCTTTTACTCGTGCATTGCATAATAGTTTAATTCTTTTATTTCTCAAAAAAGATATTATTATTTTTTCCTTAAATTTAAAAAGATATTATAAATTTTCTAATAATAAAATTTCATTATTATCTTTGTTTTGTTCTTTTTTTTAATGTGAATTTTTATCAGGTTACTCTTCTTAAAAAAATATAAAAGATAAATTTATTTTTCCACTAAATATTTTCATGGCAAACTAAAATTTGGGGTAGCCACAGGGTGAGATGGCGGCGGCAACAACTAACAAGAATATGAAAAGCTATGATGCTAACGGCGACTTTGAAAAAGATGACGGTGAAAGATTCTCACACAAACAAACAAGTCCTATTCCTCCATTTCTTAATGCCATCATTGCTTACACAAACCCAACTTCCATCCACAAACACCTCCTATTCTCACATTTTCAATTCGTAACTACCATCAAGATTTTGCCTTGTTAACATTTGTAAGCCGTCATGGGATTGAAAAACACTATTTTAGTTCAACACATTCGATGCACATAACATTCTATATTTACTAATTAAAGATTATATTATCCATGTTCTTTAAGGTATCATACGACAGAAAAACAAATAAATAGTGGCATTCATGTTATAACAACCGTCCCACAACTTGCCACACATCCTGAGTCACAGAATGATCTTAACCACATAATTTATTAGCTTGCATTGTCATCCTGCTATTAGATTATTCATGTTTATGATCATCAAATTTTTGATCTTATCAGCCATCTTTCAGTGTTGCATGTCATTGTAATTATCATCGTCACATACAACCTCCAACTGAAAAGAAGGAGTAAAAAATAGATTGAGTTTTGGAGGAATTAATGATGATGAGTATTGACTATCAGGGCAGAGACTTAGTATATATATCCAAACACCACTAGTGGAAAAGTAAAGATTTTTTATTGATTAGAAGAATGTCAATCCCTTTCTTTATCTCCCTGCCTTTTGTTAATAGGAGGACGAGCTTCTGGTCAGACCCTACGACCCACTCACTAATCAAAATTAGTGAGGGAAATCGCACTTAACAAAGAATTATTTCTTAATCTTCTTTTTCAAAAACAAATCTATTAGTGGAGTTCAGTCAATGAATGGGATCAATGTCAACAAATTCCCTTTCTCATTTTTTTTAACAAATGGTAAAAGTAAGAATTAGGTTATTTCAATTAATATGTGAATTAAGCAATAGGAGATATTAGCATCTCCAAAATAGTGTTGGTATCAATAATAGTTTACGAATAAAATTAAATATTTTATTATACATTTTATATATAAGTTATTTAAAATTTGATTATTTTTTTAATTTCAAATATTTTTTATTTATTTTTAAGCAATAAATTCATAAAAAAATATTTATTTTTATTTATAAACCATTCTTATTAACAATTTTGGAGATGTTCTTAAAATATTTCTATAACCTTGATTATTATAATCTGATTTAATCAAATGATTACACCTTTAAATTTGTTCTAACATTAAACCGGTTAGTCTATATAAAAAAATTATAGAGATTGAATCAATGATTCCTGAATTAAAAAAATAGTTACTAATTAAAGCAATTAGACACTAAATTAAAATTAAAATTTAAAATAATTAATTACCTTGGTTACTACTTTTTTTAATGACCACTTCATAACCTTATTCAATGAAAATATAGTATGACTCGATTAAGAATTTGTTTGATTTAATTTAATTTTTTTAGCTACTAAAAATATTTTTAAAGATTTTTTTATAATTATAATTTAAAAATAATTTTAGATAAAAGGGTCTCAATAGTTATATATGAAGACATGGTAAATGATAATGTCGATATTTTCTTAACAACTCGAAAGTGAGTAATATTACAATCAGTATTATAAAAGAAAAAACAAACAACAAAACTAAAGTGTATAATTTTTATAAAACTAAACTACTGAATATTGTTTTTTTTAAATAAATAAAAATTTTCAATTTTTAAAATAAATTATAAATCAATTTATATAAGTTTATATAATTATTAAGTATTTTTTATTTCTAAATCAATTTTTATTTAATGATGATTTAGTGGATAAAAAACGGTAAAACTAATGAAATCAATATTTTGAGAATTAATAAAATACATTATTATTACTATTATCTTAAAATATGACACTGTATAGGTTTGAATTAATTCTATTTTTTCTTGCATGGTCACAATGCTTACAAATATCAGAATCCTAATCAAGATATAGGAGCAACTTTAATTCAAATAACTTCTTATTATTAATACATTTTTTTTGCGTCAAAATCTAATGCTATTTTGTTTCTCATTTGCAATTGTAATTTGTAGTACATATACTAATTTTGATTTACTGTTGCAATTGTGTATGTGAATATGCTAATTCAAGGCACGTAAGTATCGATCATTATCAAAGATGAACATCAATACTGTAATATGTTTCAATTATCACAATTTTTATTGAAGTTATTTTTTAATAGGAAGAACTTATAAATATCATATATTTTTGTAATATTGTTTAGCATATCATATTAAAAAATTTAAAAATATTATTTTATTATAGCTGATAAATTTATCGCGACACAACCAGTGTTAAAAAATAATAACAAATATGGAGCAATATTGATCTAAGAGAGATTTCAACACATGCCATGCACATGAGAAATGTATAATAAACTAGATTTATCTTAATTAAATTGGGTTTTCCTTGATAATTTCTATTAATAAAATTAATATTTATTGACATAGTTGAGAGAACAAGCGCACATGAAGAGGCAAACTGATTAACTTAAATGGTAAACTAAGAAAACTTAGAAACACTGGACTCTGTCTTTTTATGAAATTTGCTTAGAGTGGAGCAGCACTGGTTGGGATGCTCCTCCATGTTTAACCTAACAAAAGCTACTTCTCACATGCCATGTTCAACACAATCATAGGACTTCAATAATTTCATAATCTGTACCACAGGAAGTTAAACATCATTATACAACTCTCATGCTAGAGAGGAAATGGAAATCATACAAAAAAAAAAAAAATCCAAAATAAAAATAAAAATCATAGGGGTGGAACAGGTAACAATATGTAAAGTATTTTTATTCGAAATATTTTATTACTAAATTATTGAAATTGAAATGTGAGATAAAATCTCTTATTAATTAGAAATAATAATAGATTATTGAATAAATTCAATTATGAGTTACAATCTATAAGAAATAATAATAATAAAATAAAATAGTAAAATTTAATACATTAAGATTTTAAGTTAAAAATTATATTAAAATATATATTATATTTTTTTATATGATTGATTATTTCAATATCTTCTTGTTAGACTTCTCTAAATACCCAACTTCAACTCGGTAAAAAAAAACTAAATTATTTATGTATACAACAATTTTTTTTCCTAAATTTACTTAATGTAACTTTTATATTTTCTCCAGTTAATAGATTTATGTTAGAGGGCTCCCTCATCTAATATTGAACTAGTCTTTTGATTCTTATATGCTTAATCATGATTATATATTTTCATTAAAGTTGAATTTAAAAATAAATTATTTATTAATTAACTTAACATATTTGTTCTTAAAAGACATGAATATAAAGAGGTTAATATGAAGAGTTTCATAAAAAAAAAAACTTTTATTAGAAGATTCTTTCAATTAATAAATTAATTTTTAGCGTTGCACTTTTTATACTTCCTTCGTTAATAGTAGAAATGAAAGAGAACAAAATTAAGGGTCGAGAATGCAATAGAGATGAATAGAGAAGAACATAAGAAAAATATATGTGAAATACTTTTATTGGCAACATTTCACTTTTTACAGAGTCCAACAACTCAACTCCACAGAAACAGAACATAGATTAAATTAAATACATAACAATCTTTTTTTTTTTTCTTAAAAAATGGAAAACAAAAACCTCCTTGACGACAAAGTAATTTGAATGCTACTAATGTCTAGAGCCCATAAATAGTTTTATTTATTACCGAAAGTACAGTATTGGAGACCAATGCACTATCACCGATATGGCCATATCTTACCATCATTGAACTTCCACTTTCACATGATAACCTGAAAATGTATCTACCAAGAATCTAGGTTCACTCAGCATTGCCCTCCTTGTGCTTCATCCAATCATCCCACACTTAAACAAAAATGGTACATACATGAATAATACACAAAGAAAAAGGAACATTTGGGATGCATTTTTGGATCCTAATCACCCTAAAGGAAAAGGTGACAGACCCTACTATAATGTTTCTGCATTTTCATATTTTTCATGTGAGAGTGGAAGGATCAGTGATGGTGAGGATCTGGACCACCAGGACTTAGACGATTGGGATAAGGTTCTGTTCCCAACAACTGCTTCCTTCTCATGATTTCCTTCAGCACTGTTTGGGCGGCACTCTTCAAAAATGCATGCTTTTCATTGCTTCTTGGAAGTGAAGAGGGAAGAGGCCTGGCATCATGGCAGATCAACATTGATGTGAAGAGAAGGACAAGGCAAAAATGTTTCAAACTTGCCATAGAAAAGGACTTAAAGATATATCAAAACCAGCCAAAGTGGTGGGGAGATTCTAAGCTGTGATAGTTGGCATATATATAGGCTCATAAAATTGTCGTTTTGCTGTGAATTTTTATTCGACATGTGTAGGAAATAATATATGGTCAAATAGCATTGATATAGTGATGATGGAAATTGGTTCTGTCGTCAGATAGCGTGCGCACTTATATTCCAAAATAATCTCTAATGAGTGCTTATAATAAATGTCTAAGTAAGCAATATTCTTCTCTAATCTCTGTAACCTCTATATTGTAAACAAGAAAAATAATGGTGGTCTACTTTTGCATAGATAACCATTTCTCAAATTTTCTGCCGTCATTGACTTAAATATAGCAAACTCATTTTATCCAAGAACTTAGGGGTCCCTTGAATATGAAGAAAAGAAAGATTCTTATTTAGTTTTTACATGGGAATGGTGTTCCTACCTAGTATAATCTTCTGCATTACTTGATGTTGATAATGACATGTCAAAGTCTTTGTTAGATGTTCTCATTGATTAGAGAATATTATATCAATAGGTTAACCTAGAGTGGATTGTACTGGGTCAGGTAATTCTGCAACAGGCGCTACTTTCTAGCAGATCATGCATATCTTTGTATGAGTTTGTTTACTGTAATTCAATTCTTGCTGAATGAAGCAAGGAAACAGACAAGAAAGAGATAGTGATCTTAGTTTTTATTTTGGGTCAATTAAGTTATTTTCCTCCAAAAAATGCTGAGCCTACACTATGTTATTGTTTCTAGTTTTGAAACAACACTCCCACTTTTAAAAAATCAATTACAATTTTTTTTATCTATTTCAACACAAACAGGGCCAAAACTATTATTGATTTTTCTAGGATAGATGATTTTAAGATTATAAATACTTGTTAAGAAGCAGAAGGATGTCTAATCACTTGTAAAAGTGAAAGTTCAAGGTTATAAATTTATTATTATATATATATATTTTTTAAGAAGTAGAAGGTGCATCTATAAGTACTGTGTAGTTGCCAATAATGAACCTAATAATAAAATTCCTAGGTCTATGAAAAGGATCATCAAGAATTCTAGTTCTGACCATCAAAGAGTTTTTGGATAATATTTTGATGTGGTATGGGATCTATATCAGAGTATCAATTCTCTTTTACATGAGAGATTATCTTCTGAGATTAATATATATATATATATATATATATATATATATATATATATATATATTAATTTTTTTGTTTTATATGAAAAAATTATTGAAGATATTGATACATTAAATGAGGTGAAGAGTGATTGAAAAAAAGTGAAGGGTGTGAAATAATAATAATAATAATAAAAAAATTATACTCTTAATAATAATTTATTTGTATAATCGAGTGAATCGGAATATTTTATTTCATATAATATAATTAAAAAAAATCAGAATTTACGATAAACTTCTTTAATAAAAATTTATTGTTTGATTTCATAAAAAAATGCATATATTTAGAAAATATATACTAAGAAAAATGTAATAACAAATTTTCTAAATCATAAGATTCATATAAGATATGTTTTATTGGGACTTGAATAAACTTTACCAAATAAATACAATTTCACCTTCTCTTTTCTAATATAAAATTTGCAGTGTTGTACTGACATAAATAAAAACTTGTTCGAAGTTACATTCGTCCAAACTTGTAAAACCAAGGACAAGTATTTTCCATTCGCTACTCAGAAGAGTCCAAACTAAGAAAGTGAGGAACACTAACGAGCAGAGACATTGGTGATTTGATAATAAATTTAATGCTAACTGCTATCTTCGCCCCTTTGTGTGTATGAATAATGATTTATAGAAAACAATTGGTGAAGAGGAACACCAACTGAAAATTTCGTACATCACCACCATTTTCTTTCCATTGAAGGTCTAAGTAAGTGGTGATGCAGAAGAAATTTTAGATGGGAAAGACAGAATGGAAGGTATTAGTGGATTTTAAATGTTTTAAGACCTATTAAACTAAATACCTTGTCCATATCAAAAAATACAAACGACCAAACCTAACCACGTTTAGGATAGGAAGGGGAATATAAAATACGGTTTGTTGCGTTGCCACAAGTTCTTGTCTTTGTTGTTTCTTGTTTTTGTCTTGCTGATTTAAAAGGTATCTGAGCATGCTGTTCGGATTGCGTTTTTGCTATTTTAAATTTGAATTCATTCCAGTGGGTCTTGGAGAGTTTGATTGGAGATTAAACATGAATATATGTTCATTGTTCAATCTTGTAATAAGAGATTTTATGATTGTGGACTGATGAGGGACCATAGCTTTATATGTAAAATGAAGAGAAAAAAAGTCTCAAGTGTGCTGAAAATGCAAGTGACACATTGCTTCACGGATACGATTAATTAGGTAATCCTTAATTATCTGTGTATTATTTATTATGTGTTAACTATATCAACAAGAGGAGAAGAAAACTCTTTATACAAGGTCAGCAGGAACCCTAATCAAAAGGAAAAACAAAAAAGGAACGATTATTACTCTAGGTAGTAATCCTAACAAATTAACTAACTTTAACATCCTTTTCATAAGTTAGACGGTGTATATTCACCAACCCAAGCTTAGAGATGATAAATTTGAACCACACACGATGAGAGAATTTTGTAAAGATGTCTGCGAGTTGTTCTTCAGAGAGAATGGGAAGGAGATGAGCTTTAATCTTCTCACGAACAACGTGACAATCGAGGTCAATGCGTTTCGTCCTCTCATGAAAGTTTGGGTTATGGGCGATGTCTCTGGCAAATTGTCATAGTAGAGGGTAGCTATGCTAAGGATCTGAATGTAAGAGATACTTGACCCATTGTATCTCACAAACAATCGTGGCCAAAACACGATACTTGTAACGTTATTTATTTATCTTCTAATTTATTTAATTTCAAAAAAATGAGATAAATGTTTTTTTTTCAAAAATAATATTTCTTTATGACAATGAACTTTAAAACTCATTGTGCATTAATGAATATATATAGATGATGTGTTCGGACATGTTCATACATATATATTTATAATGTTAATACATTGTTTTTCAAGATAACTAATCCAACAAGGATTGTAATTACATAAATTGTGTACCCTTAAACTATTAGAACTTAATTTAAATTTCTCCATCTTAAAATAAATCAAATCATAATCAGAGAAGGTACCCAAAATTCCTAACTTTCTCATATACAAGACCATGTCACTCCCAGAGGGCAGCATTCCTCCATGCATATATATATGATACTCAACCAAACTGTGGTTCCTCCATCATCACCTGAAATATAACAGTAATGATGAATTTCCTTTTCTCATCACTCCAGAACGCTAAACTGAAAATTTTTCCAACTTCCACATTCTAAAACCATATGTAACATTTATAGTCAAACATTTCATTCTTACAATAAAGTATCACACATAGAAATTTCAAACAATCTCCACAAATCACATTACTCAAACTAAAAGCACACATACATGCTTGTGTTTCATTCGTTCATTTTTGATACATTTGAAATGTTCATGCGCCTAGGATACACTATCAATCCCATATCTCAATCCATGAAAGGATCACACATAAGTACAGACAACTCTCACAAGAATACCAAACTTACACACGAGCATAAATAGTTCACAGAAGTATAGATGATTGTCGGTTGATCTGCGCATCACAGATACAATGCTTACGCATACGATCTCTTGATAAAAAGGCAAAGTCAAAGAGGCAAGTCGGGAGTATAGAGCATGACCAAACAATGCACTCTATATTTCCCCAAGATCACTCTGATCATCTCTTATCTCCTAAGCTCCCAGTATATCTCTATACCATCCACACATATCTCGTCACTGAGTGACACCACCAATTCTTTAACAACAATTTGTTTGGTGGAAACAAACTCTCCAGCATACAGACTATATCACTATAGACGTAATACCCTACTTTTATATGACTAACATCTCTGACTTAGACTCAACACATAACACCAACATCCTCTAGGCATGATTTCCACTAACTATCATGAATATGAATGCATTGAAAGCAATGAGAGGGAAATTGATGGAAATGTATGGAAATGTTCCTGCATTCCCAAGAGATGATTTTGATGATGATTCAAGTCAACTACATTCAAGTCAACACCATTCAAGATGAATTTAAGGACAAGCTGAATTTATGATGTAGGTGATAAAGATGATGATTCAAGCAAGCCCAAGATGATTCCTGAAGACTAGATAGATTCTTAGAATACTGGATATGGAGGTACAAGTTGATGAAGTAATATTATGCATAAGCCTCCAAAGCACAAGTGTGATAAAATTCATAACATGATATTTTTCACTGTCATAATTAATTATGATGCACCAAAAATGGAAAAATAATTTTCTCTATCATAATTAATTATACTGGTAATATAATCAATTATGACAATTCAAATTTGAAAATATATCCGTTTTAAAGAATAAATGTTTTTGAATACATTCTGATTTTCTCTATGATATTATTAATGTCCAACGGCCATTTTTCGATGCTATTTTTCTATTTAATTAAGTTTTGATGAAAAATAAAAAACACACAATTATAGAATTCGAAAATACAATTTACATTCAATCAGTTTTGAGAAAAGAATTCTGAGCAAGGCAATAGAGATATTTTACACCTTTTGAGAAAACACTCTTCTCTATTGCCTTCTGTGCTTTCATTGTTAATCACACTTGTTCTTGGAGATTGACATTCTACAGGCTTCTACAATTTGTTGTCTCCATTACCCAGGTGTGTCTGTTCTTATTTTTATTACCTTCATCCTTTTTGCATTGGTGGAAAAGGAGGTGTTTTTCATCCCTAGTGTGATTCTAGGGAGGGGTTCATCCTTAGTGGGATTCTAAGGAGGTGTTTTTCATCCTTTGATTTGTTCAGAGGAGGTGTTCATCCCTAGTGGGATTCTAGGGAGGTGTTCATCCTTAATGAGTTTCTAAGGAGATTGTCTTTTTAATTAATTTACTTTTTACTAGTTCTTCTGCTGAGTTGATTGTAATTTGTAAACTGAATTTGAAAGATAGTGAATGGGGAGTCACTCTTGTGTTAAGAGTTGACTGGGAACTGGATGTAGGATTGGCTATACCCGAACTAGTATAAATCTCTGTGTGCTCTTCTCTTTCCCTTATCTCTTTCTCTTTTCCTGATTATATTATTGCTTCCGCTTTAACAAATTATTGACTCAAATAAATTTTTAATTTGACATATATTTTAATTTGTGCATCTATTCACCCCCCTCTAGATGCCATTTGTCTAACATGCATTACCTATTTATAATGTTTCTTTATACCATTCTTATTAAGCTTTATTTATTTTTCATCCATTTGAAAAATTTGACAGAGTCTCCTTTGTAATTTGGACATTTCCCAATTTACAAATACACTCAAATCAAACTCATACAACACATTTTCCTACCTCAAACAAGAATAATATAAATTATTCGAGGGTCGGACACTCTCGGACTCAACACACATTGCGATCCATCAAATATTTTAAACTCTTGTTCTTTTAATCTTATGTCCCAAAATATCTCATTACACTATCATTCTCACATCATACATACTCATAAAATAAATAATAGGTCAAGAACTAAAGTTTTTTTTACACTTCTCTTGGAAGAAAAGTCTATCATAAGCCTTAGAAAAGTGTAACTTTGGAATAATTCTTTGCCATCTAAACTAACTCCAAATTCTATGAAATTTTTCAGTCCAAAATAAATATATTCTAGGATTATAATAAAAATTATAACTCAAAATTTAAAGATTTCTAAGTCATTCAAAACTTTCCTCCCTTTTCACACGTTTTGAAGATTCCACTATCAGGGCAGTACTCAAAGATATATGTTTATAAAATAAAATAATGGTCATAAAATTATGAAAATAAATATAATTAACATATACCTACAATCACAACTAAGATAAAAATTTCATTTCAAAACATTTCAATTTCAATTTTATATGATTTTTCAAAGTTTCTGGACGGACATAGCAACTTTGTGTCACTCAACTCAAAACCTATTCACTTCCAAGATTTTTCATGGAAAACTTACTTTTTAGAAAATTTTGAAATAAATCAAACATTAACTAGACATATGAAGGAACATATGAAAAAAAATTCAGAATTAAATACCAAGTAAATATTTTTATATAATTTCTCAAAGATTCTGTTCACATGCAGATATTTTCAGCAACACTTCTCAATACATTTTTTCATCATCTTCTTCTAGAAAAATCCAATTTAAGTGATTTTTATGGCTAACTCTAGGTTTTGGCATCCAAGGAATCCATTTATAAACTCTAAAATATGAAAAGAGCATTGTAGAGTATTAAAATACACTAGAACAACCATACCATTTTTTTTTTTATCAAACATTCTAGTTTGGTTCCAATTCATATAGAAGTGAGATAAATGGTGGTTTAACCTAGGATTGATGGCAAGAAGACTCTCCTTACCTCAAATGAAGCTTTCAAACAAGAAAATGGAGATCCTTAGTTCAAAAAAGGGTTTGTATCCTATAAACATCAAGATATCATATACTTGAGATTGAGAAGATTTTAAGAGATAATATTGAAATTCAATGCTTGAATTTCATGGATCTGACACTTAATTGCAAAAGGATGGACCAAAGATGGTGTGGGCAAGCAAATCCAAGCTTCTCTTCTTCCCCCGTGCTCCCAAAATGGCTTTCGTAAGTGAGAAAGAAAATTGGTCTTTCTCTTCTTTAAATTTGGCTTCCTTTTCTAAATTACCCTCACTTGCTTTTGCACTTACCAATTGAATCCTTTCATCAATGGGAGATTATATTACTAATTTTGCTTAATGATATTACTCTTATTATTATTATTACTTCATTTTAAACTCAATTTTAAATTTATCTATTTCATTCTATTACAAATTTCATGATATATATATATATATATATATATATATATATATATATATATATATCATTTATTACCATCCTTAAAAATTATCAAGTCTTAAAATAACTCATAATATCATTTTATTAAAGTTAATGATAAAATATTTCATTTTATTCATGTGAAATATTTTAGGAAAATACTGGATGTTACAATACTCGACTTTAGTAGACGATCAAGAAACAATCTGTTGTTTCTTTGATTTCCA